CTGTAAAGCCCCTGAAATATACTCTGGAAGATCAAAGTAATAAAATCTTGCACAATGAACACTACTTTGCAGAAGATTCTAATAGTCTTATAGGTTTCTTATTATTTTGAATTCTTTTAAACTTAATTTCTTGTTTATTTCTCTTAAAGAAAATAACTATAATTGAAAAGTGTGCTTTAAGAAATTCTCTGTTGTGTTAATTCATTTTTGAATTAATACACCTAAATAATGACTTAATTAATCTTGTTATTTACTAAAACATGACATTTTGGAAAGAGCCTAATGCAGAAAGACCCAACAGCATCCTCACAATGGTATACTAATTATGCCTTTTTTTTTCAGGATACTTTTTGGGAAGGAACTTTTGGGATTTTGCAACATTATTGTAAAAAGAATAATTCACTTTTATAACTAATTAAACGATAAGGATTAAAAGCAATGAATAGTGAATAAGCAACTTTAATGTTTCTTTGAATTTTTAGTACATTCATCGGCATGATATCACAGATATTACAAGGGAGAATTTTACCTTCAGTACTAAAGTCAATGTGGGAGAATTCTTAGAACGAGCACAGGATGGTGCAAGAGAGGTTAGTTTTAGCTGTTTATTTTATTTTTTTCCTTCTCTTACAACATAAAGGGTTTGAAATAATGATAGGCATGTAGCCACAGTCTAATACATTAATCTTAAGCCATGGTTCAAATTATTTTATAGTAGTGTTTTAATCCTTGTTTGCTTAAATTGAATGATAATAGTAGCTGGTAAATATCCTATAAAAATGTATCCACTATTCAAAGGACTAACTTAATTTCACAGTTAACAGTCAAACTATCAAAAAGAGCTTTATAGCACACTAGTATATGGTATTATATAATATGTATAGTAGCTGTTGTTGATATGAACTTCTTTTAAAACTTATCTCACTCACAATGATTACTAAAACCGGAAACTATTTTGTTATTTGTGTGAAGTATATTTTAGGTTATTATAGAAAAAACAGTTAAAAATTATGGAATTTTTGTATGTAGAACTACAACTTAGTCAGTGAGCAAGAAGTGGTGGCTAGAATAGAAGAAGTTCGAACTCGGAAAGGCTGTTTGGGAATTCAAGTTCGGCGAACTCCACAGCAGAAAGCCAAAGAAGAAGAAGAGAAACAACAACAGTGGGAAAAAATTCAGCTACAACATAGACTAGAGCAGCAAGGTATGTACAAAAATAAACAAGTTGTATATCACATAATGAATAGAGGAAAATGTTTTTACAATTATTTTAAAATTTTTTCAGAAATTTAATTACCTCAAATTGTACACAATTTTTTGTGGAAACTTGTAAACTTGATAGGTGAGAATGGATTTTTTTTTACTGATCTTTAGTCCATTTATTATATTTATGAAAGTATAGCATGTGTTACATTGGAAAATTGTAAAAACTTTAAGTTAGACTTTTATAATTAGAAAGCAAGGTCAAGTATGTAACACTCGCATATTAATATTTAGTTATGTTGGTAGTATGTTCATTATAAATTTTATACTTGGGTCTAAGCAGATAAAAGTTAGTTCTAGCTTTTCTACTAGAACAGAAACGTTTTTCAAATATAACAAGTAATATGTGGCTTTTGAAATACTGCAGTGGAATTTTATATTCAATTAATTAAAAAGACACATCTTTTGTGTCTGATTTTCTGTGCCAAAAAGCTAAAAATAAACTGCTTGGCTCTTCTTGCTTATGTGATTTCTTTATGTATTTATTTAAGAGACGTGGTTATAACTTTATAACTACACACATACACACACTTACATATATGTTTCGATGTATAGTATTAAAACTGAAGAGACGTAAAGTGGTAGGAAAAAATTATGAACTCCAGTATTTATATTTTTATTGGTAGAAGAGGCTCAGCATGCAGAGGAGCTTAAGATACATAAGAGGTTGGGAAAAGAACAAGAAGCTAAAGAGTCAAAACGACAAAAAGGTTAATTTAATATTTAATATTTCCTTCTACATGGTGGTGGAGCATTTTAGATGTTAAGAAAATGCAATGTGTAATCTCTCATATGTAGTTTTTTTTTTTATTTTGGACAGCAATGACTTTTTATATGGTTTTGTTAAAATATTCATTTACATTTGGTCTCAACTTAAGTTACTTTTGTACTAAAATGTAAATTGAATGCTTGTTGTTTTCTTTTTGGTGCCCGGCATGGCCAGGTGGTTAGGGAGCTCGACTTGCAATCTGCGGGTTGTGGGTTCGAATCCCCGTTACACCAAACATGCTCACCCTTTCAGCCGTGGGGGCATTATAATGTGACGGTCAATCCCACTATTTGTTGGTAAGAGAGTAGCCCAAGAGTTGATGGTGAGTGGTGATGACTAGCTGCCTTCCCTCTAGTCTTACACTGCTAAATTAGGGACGGCTAGTGCAGATAGCCTTCATAGAGTTGCGCGAAATTCAAAACAAACAAACAATCTTTTTGGTAAAAACTACTGGATAGCATTACTTTACTTGTTTGAGAAATAAATTTTGGGGTCAAGTGCCACCCAGTAGTTAGCACGCTGGACTGTTAATCCAAGGCTCTGTGGTTTCACTCCACTACCACCAAAAAGAAGACAAAAAACAAATTGTACTGTGTACCTTAGGGCCATGGATGTGTTATAAGAGTGACTGTCAAAACCCATCAATTGATTTGAGTAGTCCACAAGTTGATGGTGGGTCCTATTGATTAGCTCTTTTTCTTCTAGTCTATCACTTCAAAATTAGGGATGACTGGTATGGAAAGCCCCTTTAGATAGCTTGAGCAAAATTTAACAAACAACTACAACATATTTGGAAATTTTAAATCGGTTTTTAACTGAAGTTTTTGTATATAATACGCAGAAAAGTCTGGACCATTGGATAACTTCCAGGTGACTTGTATATTTCATCATCAAATTAATCTATGTACTTTTTACTCATTCAAATTTATAGTACTTTCTTTCAATTTTTTATTTTTTTTCCTGTAGCAGAAGAATTGCGATATCAGAAGGAACACGAAAAATTTATGAAGGAACAGGAAAAGTTAAAACGGTTGGAACAGTTACAACTGGAGAGAGAAATGAGAAATAGACATATTATGGAGGCATGTGATTATAAAAGAATTTTTATAGTTTTCAGAGAAGACTTAAAACATATTTTTATGGCAGAGTTAACCAGAACTCTTCATGTTATATTAAAACTATCATATTTCATATTGACGTAAAAAGATAGGAAATGATTGACATGGAGATTTAACATAAGTTACATATATATAACTGGTACTTGATAACCATGAATTGGATATTTTTTGTTTTTAAATAGTAATATAGCAGTAACTGTTTGACTATGTTATAAATTATAATTTTTATTTTGTGTGTGTGTATGTGTGTGTTAGGAAAGAGAAATGAAAAGACAACAAGCTGCCATTATGAGAGAACAGGTAAGTGAAAGTGGAGTTTTACACATTTCTCACATATGGAAAACAGTTTTGTTGTGCATGTATTTATTAGCTATCATTCACTTTGTTAGTTTTATAAATTTATATCTTGGTTAAATTTTTAAGTTATTATTTACTAATTGCCAAAAGGATATGAGATAGAACTTCCTAGTAGCAAGATCATCTGTTAAAATTAAAAATTAACCCAAAAATAAAAGCTAGCTCACATTTAAAATAAATGAAAGTTTTTGTTTTAGCATGTAAAATGTAATGTTTTTACCAACATAGTATCTGATGTTTTCCATTTTCCTTCCTCTGCTCACCAGGAATTGCAGAAACATAGAGAAATGATCTTAATGGTTGATTTGGTAGGTAACATTTTTATAAATCTCCCCCTTTCCTTGCATGCAGCTGTTCTGAGCTCGCTATCAAGAGTGGTTTAGGGTTATGGGAAAAGAACACTATAAACATAGGATTACACAGAATATTGCTGACAGTACACCAGAAATGCATTGGCTAGCCACTTTATTAGTACTCATACACACACCTTTTTAGAACACTTCATGTAATTGCACATGCAAAAATAAAATGGTTGTGTTAAGAGTTAGGTAATTGCTTGAATCCATTAACTCCTTTTGGCATGGGTACCCTTTACTGCACATGACACAAGGTTTTAGTGTCTTACATTCAAAATTTTATTAAATTACTTTCTTTTTAAGTTATACCAATTAGAATAGCATAATATCTTAGCTAATAATACATATTTTAATAGTATACAAGTTT